AAAATTGATACATTTGCTTATAATTATATGTTAATTTTTATTCATTCTATTGACTTTTGATAATTAAATACCGGTAACAAAATCAAACAACTGTTGTTTTATTTTTCAATTTTATCCTTATACCATTTAATTCAGTTAGTATTAATTGACTGATTACTTCATTAATGTAAGCAATTCATTTCCAAATAAATGAAATACTATAAAGTAAAGTGTATATGATTAATTTTTTTAAAATACCAAAAACAACAAATACATAACATGGAATTTTAATTTTGTTATTACTTCAATTAATTTATGGAATATATTAAATGCATTTATTTACGTCAAGTATGGCAATGAATGAACTACTCAATATATTGTTCAGTACAGACAAATATCTAACTAATTAGCATTAAGTTGACAACTCAAATAAACTTAAACAGGTTTAATAAACTACAGTTCTACACGAATGAGCAGACAGTATCAAAGTACTTGAAGCGACTTTATATTTTGCAAGATACTAGTAATTTGATTAAATTGTTTATTGGTCGGCGACGTTAGCTAGATTCAGCTTTACTGGTGCAGGAAGAACCTAGGTGCCCTTCCGTGCATTATTTCAGGCACGGATTTAAGGGCACAGTAGAACCACCGACGTTCCATAAACTGAATAGCATCCTCAAATGAAATCATCAAAAGTGCCTGTCGGGGATTCAAACCCACAGCGGTGAGGGGATAGTGGTTTGAAGTCAACGACCTTAACAACTCTGCCACCTCAAGTTGCCTTTTATAAAAAATCTTATTTCTGAAATCAGTCTTATGACCAAAACTAAGACCCTTTTGCGTTTCAAAGAAAATAGACTTATTACTTATACATGTACATGTATGTTGTAACTTCTTCAATTTCCAGTGAGTATTCGTTTACTGTGGATAAAGCTCCTGTCATAGTATTTCTGGGAAATGAATTATTCCAAAATCTAAAGTCTATAGCTAGAAATAAGCAGTGTGTTCTTATAGCGCCACTATTTGACCAATCATAATCTGCCAACTACATATATAGGGCGGCACTTTACTTGACGATCATTTGCAGCTCCGCCTGTTAACAATCTGTACAATTTCAATCTGTGATCAAAATTTGCCAAATTGCTCGATTTCGACGCCGATCGGCCCCAATCCAATACTTTTTCAGATCGTGGCTTGATCGTTATGATCGTCCTAAAGTCATAGCTCTTTGTTGAGAAACCTCGGCTATAATGAGATTTGAGAATTTGATCGGCTCCACAGCTCGGCCATTATGAATTTGCTTTTTTTTTATTGAAAAATAAGTCGCCATTTTGAATTTGCTGCAAAGAAGGTTTCTGGGACATTTTTAAAACATGAATCTCATTTACAATACCTCACAACAACGGAATTTCACATTAGTTATTTTTTGTTCACTAAGTAATTAATTTCTTTAGTTCATGTGTAGTTTCTTATTGAGACTTTATCCAAAATAAATTTTCTAATTTACCTCCATTAATATTTACATTAAATGCAAATTCCATGATATCTATACAAATAAAGCTTTTTGGAACTTACAATTAAAAAACCTTCATTTGAGCATCATATTTATGATATAAAACCATATAAAAATTTGAGTTACAGGATCTTTAAGATATTTTAAGTTAAATTTTTATGTTATACGCTAACGTTTTGTTATGACAATGGACATGAAATTATAAATATTTAAAAAAAAAAATCTATTTTAAATTGTTAATGTTCTATAGAGGACATTTGTTTGCTTATGTGTAAGATGAAATTTTATTTCATCTGGTGAGCTTTAAAAAAAGTATTTTATATATTTTTGTGCAACTTATATTTATGTATGCTATGTATCTTAAAGCTGCATGCCTCCAGATGAGCAAAATTTTTTCAAGGAAATGAAAATTTTGGGAAAATGTACGAAAAATTTAATAAAAAATAAAATGATTCAAGATTCAAGAAATAATTTACATGTTATGCGCGACTGATTTTGCAGTATTTATCACCACATTTCTACTGCATGACTAACGCAGTAAGAGTTATTTTTGCATATTTTAACGCATTTTGGGTGTTAACCTGATTTTTAAGTGCTATTTGCAATATGTAGTTCACTTCATAATCTGGATGCATATTGCTATTAAATAGCTTCTGTTGGTGGTTTTAGACAATGTCATTTAAATTTGAAACTTTGATAATCAGTACGATTTAAAAAGTAAAAGTAGCAATAAATTATATGTTTTCAATTCAGCAACAACAAGTAATTCTTTGTAGATATTGTAAATGCATTGATGTTTTGATAACCTTTTCCCCATTAAAATACGAGCTCGAAATTTATGAAGTGATTAAAAGTGTAAAAGGTTGTGTCTCCTGGGCTGCAATATCAAACATGTAAGGCCGCCAAGGGAGTTGTATTACATGTATTAGGCGAAATAGAGTTGCTATCCTTTTATCTCTCAAACATTGTTACATAAATACATATATATACCGTACTTTCCTTAACTCAGACTTGTTTTCTCGTTTGGGGCACAACCTTTCTTTTATTTGGGGACCATACGCCGCTTTTCGTGGCATGGCACTACTGTGTCACATTGAAGGTTCCGTGAAAACCGCCGTAGGAACACATCTACGGATGTTTCTAAGTTCAAAATTTCACAATTTTTGCGTTTAAATGTTGAATTCTGCTTATGCCGGTGCTAGGGGGGGGGGGGCGTGGCGGTAACTTGCACTTTCCAGTACCGTCCATGAACAGGCTCAATCAAACCGAGCCTGCAATATTTTCAATTTTGCCGTGCTGGGCTTTCCTTAGGGATTCTGTTTTTTCTCTAATTTAAACAAGGCATGTGTACCCCTTTCAACTTAATGAATCTAAACGTTATCTTTAACAAAAAGTCTTTTCCAACTACGCAAAACAAAGAATTCATTTTTGATCAATAAAGCAAAAAACAAACACCAGATAACGTTGTTAGTCTCTTTAAACTTTAAGTTAGAAAAACCTTTAAATTATCTCTAAATTTGTTTATTTGGAGAGAAAACGTTTTATTGATCACGTTTTCTTCTTTATAATCTATGTATAAGATATTTTAATATAGAGTTTTATTGCAATCAATTGTCCTCAAGATTTAACGCTAGAATATTTAACACTATAGAATCTAAGAGAGCCTTGTAAACATTGCTTAAATTGTGAATTATAACAAAAGTGATTTGTACCAACACTTGCCACCTAGATAAGGGTAATATAAGTATTTTGAAATCGTAATGCCCACTTCTTTTCAACTAGAATAATCACTGAAGTTGATTTATATCTTCAAAATCAAAGTACAAAATACCTCTTTGTCACCACAATCAAGCAAATACCGCTAATAGATGATGCGTTTAAACTCGGAGTGAAGAAAAACTGATTTTTAGCCTTATTAATTGTGCAACAAGCCGAGTTATATAAGGGGAGAATGAGTTTAGTTGTTACATAATTATGTAAATATTTAGTATAGTCAATAAAACAAATTTTGAAATATTAATTCAAAGCGAACTGGTATACCTTGATGTTCTTTCAGTACCAAACAAAATGATATAATGCGTGACTTTATTTTAAAATTTGAAATCTGGCAACAACTTTGCGATGAATGATTCGTCAGTAGTCAAAGTTCAAATGGACATTTGAAAAAGGGGGCCTTAACAATATAAAAATAGTTGTCTTAAGCTCCATTGTTTCTTAAAAGAGAAAAAATCAACCCCAACCCGTTTGAAACATATTGAGATTCATTATTTTGGGGAGGAGTCAATACTATAGGGGGTCCAGAAATGATTGACAGCAACTTGATGATATCAGATACAAATTGTTATTTAAGTATTTTACATGAAGTGCAAAAAAGATAATACTTTCAAATTTATACCGTATAAAGATATATTTATAACATAAAAACTGTAGTATTTATGATTCAAGATTTACGGGGTATGCTATGTATATGGAAATATGAAGTGCCAAGTTAGACTGAGGGATGGTCCCATGTAGATTTAGACCATGACGTCATTTTAAGTATCGATTACATCGTATCTTGTAAATGTCTAAAAAAAGAAGTAAATTAAAAGTGTTAAACCCATTATTCTTGGAAGCCCGATACTCGTTTCTATACATCACATATCAAAATACAAATACATACTAGGTAAATAAATAATGCAATGTTCGATAGGGAATTAGTTGATTAAAAATTTTGTCAGAAACGCAGGTATTTTCTGTGACGCAATTATTGCCAGAGAAAAGGAGCGAATAACGTATAAAAATAACTTTTACAAAGAATTTGACGCGGTTGGTTGTTTTTACGTTTATTTGTTTAGGTAAGTAGTAACGAAAAAATAAACACAATTTATTTAATTGTTTTTAACGATTATATTTTTTTTCTAATGTTGAGTGATTGATTTCTTGATAATTTCATTTTATCATATTTTTTTTTGTTATTTTTCTTTTAATTTTTGAGATGATTCTCAAAATGAAAAGGAATTTCAAGATTACTTAATATTTTCTTTAAAAATATCGGTGAAACTTTAAACAGTTTTGAAAATGTACAAATATTTTAAGCAGATATTAGAGCCACCGGGATATTTAGGACGTTTTTAATTTGTCCTGAATACAAAAAAAAACAACAACAAAAAAACACACACATAAAATAATAGTATTTCAAAAGGCAAAGAAGAAAATGCTTGAAATTTCTTAAATTGCACGATTAAAGATAATCATGATTGAAACAAATTGTTATGAAAACAAATTCAGTGGTCACCACCATGCTGTTTGAATTACCTGCCCCTGAAAGAGATTTTTCTTTGCTCTTTTGAGTCTTTTACAGTCGTTCCAATGTCGCTCACTTTAAATCGTTTATTTTTGTGTAACTATTTCTTACTTTCTGTTCTATGACGAAAGTGTTTGTAAATATATTTTCAAGTTGTGGAAGGTTGTGGACGTTTGAAGTGTTACCAATGTAACTCCCAGGATTCCCCAACAACGTGTGGAGAGAAAAACTTTAATGCTGATGCCCACAAGGATACAACAGTCAGCGGAAGCACATTGGTTAATTCATGGAACGGTGGAACCAGTTGTATACGTGGCTATGCTATAAACGACAAGGGAACATGTAAGCAGCTTTTAATCATGCTTCAGTTCAAGATGTTGTTTTCTTTTCATTTTGGTAAATGTATTCTCTTGTGAAACTGATTATTATTTTTTTGTTTTGAAAAAAATATTTTATTTCCTCAACATGTAAAAAAAAAATGCATTGTCACGATTGCAAAACATATAAATTAAAATCAGGATTACGTAGATGATACTTGAGCTGCATATGTATGCCATAAAATGACTCTATGAAAAATATTATGGTTGTTTATCTCCTTAAAAGCGAATAGCACATACGTGTACTCATTGCTTAATGATTATATGATAAATCTGTACTTAAAATAGCAATATAATATTTTGTTTCGGGAAATTTATTGGGTTTTTGTATGTAGTACATTATTTATTTATCATAAATAACAGATACATTCTATGTTATACCTCGCAACATAATTGTACCGCTTTGAACTTTAATAAAATGATTGGATTGGGTATAGCTTGATGCTCATGAAGGTAATACAGCCATAATATACATCTAAGGTTTTTCTTCCCGTACGGGGATATTGTTTCTTTTTTTCTGGTCCTTTGAGATAATTGATTCTAGCACATGTAGTATTATAAATTGGTCGTATACTACCAGTGCTTAGGCCTGTGGCGTGGGAGTCGTTTCACTTTTACATTATCTAATGAACCGACTCAATCAAACCGAGTCTTCATTATCATTTTCACTGCTTTTGAGGCATCGTGCGTATACAGTAATCATGGAATGTAACGTAAAAGTAACGCCGAATCTGTGCAACGCTATCTCAAAAACGAATAACACAGTAAGTAAACGAACCAAAATATTTTATTCTAAATAAGATTTAAAGAAATGAATAAGCGCATACGGCTGCTACGACATTATACTTTAACCAGCATTACAATTTTTGTTAGTTTTATGTTTACTTTATTAGATCATTCGTGAAAAAGACAACCTGATTACTGTTTTGAATGTGAGTTATATGTTTCGTCAAATGAATATGTACATTTAAAACATTTAAAACTTTATTTTTTTTCATATTCTGTATACTTAAGACATTTGTCAAACTACAAGTGTCGTATAACTATAACAATAGAAGGAAGCTGGTAAAATAGGATTTAGATACCTTTAAGATAACCTTCGATGCTTCAGTGCTTCATTCACGAATTCGGTGTTACCTCGTAAAAATGGTCTAAATTACGTTTTATCTGCTAAATTACGTATTATATGACACGAGTAGATTGGAAAATGTCTCAGGTACACTGAATATAAAAGATCATAAAGTAATAAGTACGTTATTGTATTTAAAGATATCAACGAGAGTAAAAATTGCCATCAATACGCTAGTCAGGTCGTCATTTTCACGAATAAACATTTTAATGGAAATATTTTTATGAGGTTTAAAGCATAATGTCTCAGCAACCGTATGCGCTAACTCATTTCTTTCAATTTGATGTTCAATAAAAAATACCGGTCCATTTCCTTATCGCGGTGCTTGTTTTAGCCACTATATTGCGCAGTTCTGCTTTACTTTTGCACTATTCTAGCGTCATTTGCACATTCCTGCGTTACTGGATAATTCTCTTCTTTTCATTTGATCACACGCATCAAACTGTCTTGCCTAATGGAGTGCACTAGGAAGAAATGGAAATATTAGGTGATAATCACAGATTTGATAGGATTGAGTCTGTTTATGAAGGAAAATAATAATACATGTAAAATATAACATCTCGCACACCCACTCATCATCACCGTATTTAATCTTGAGTATATTTAACGCCTTGAGTATGTTATAAAAGTTACCGACAATACTATAAGATAAAACACGGGACAACATTTACAATTTCTAATACTGAAAATGTAAGTGTATAAGGATAGAAGTTCTGTAAATGACAAGATCCATCAACGAATAAAAATAAGAACCCAAATAAGACATCAACTCAACAATTTTTAGCAAAACATAGCCGAGGAAACAACAATGTCGGTCAAAATACATACGGGCTGTTGATAGGCTATCGGATTTGCATTATTACTTAAGTAAATGAAATTTGGCGATACACTGTATTTTTTATTTATCTTTAATTTCAGACTATTATCGTGACAAATCAAACGAAGAGCTTTGGGATGGATGCAAGACTCCACAAATGTGTGCTTGCAGCGAAGATCTCTGTAACTCTAAAGGGTCAAGGCGCATCTATGTGATCTCAACCTTTCTCTTCTGTTACTTAGCAACGGTTGTTGTACAGAAGATGACGTTTTGATATCTGTTAATACCGGTTGTGGTATGAAGAACTAACATATTTTTAACATTGCTATATTTGAAGATTAGTATTATAAATTCAATGATCATATGAACCTGTATTTTTTGAATAAATTAGGTATGTGCGTGCTCGTGTATTAGTGTGCGCACGTGTTTCTTTATTTTTTAGTTTTACTAAATATTATGTACTTTTTCAATATTAGTTAATATGAATGTTTGGAAGAAAGCGTTTGGAGTGCTTTTGTGGACAATTAGTTATTAGAACTACCGATGGATTCAGACCAGAACCGACATAATATTTTTTAACCTGTTGCATTCTTTCTAGAACCGTGTAACAAACAATGGAAACAGTTAAACATGCACGTGAGGCACATTCTTTACTCAAATCTTTAGGTTTCTATTTGATCAATTGCAGATTCAGCATTAACTGTCGGCATGTTTAAAAGGGACTCCACTGAGGTTTTTTTACATGGCGTCACTTAGAATAAGTTTTCGATATTAATGTTTCAGTTGACAAATAGCTTTAGTGCAAAATGTCTGATCATTAGCTTACTCCGTTTCACCAGATTGTGAAAATAATTTAAAATTGAAAAGCGTTGCAACGCCTTTCACTCAAATGTGTCTAAGAATAACTAGAAATACAATTATGAGTATATTTCTTACTTATCTTTTGCACATCTTTCATGTTTAAGACTTTTGGACCTCAGTTGAGTTCTTTTAAAGAAAGAAAATGTCGCGTTTTACTGCAGTGCAATAAAGGATTGGAATTCATTACCATATGCAAGTAAGAAAATAGCTAAACACAACCATATTCTTTTAAAATGGCTGTTATAAATCATCTGTTGAGCATGGCCAAAACAAAATATGATTTCCTTAACCTGATATCTATATTCTTTCTAGAACATTGTAACACTTAAGTTTGTTTTTTATTGAAAATTGTTGGGTCTTTTCAAATATAATATTTATCATGTTATTTAAGAATGTACATATAGGAACATCCAAATTCTAAACATATTTTGGTATACATTGGTCTAATCCATTGTTTTTCATTTTGGTAAATTGGCATATAATTATGGAAGCAAATATTTTTTAACTGTATTCCAAGTAAGAAATTAGTATTTATCTCCATGTTAGTGTATTTACATTATGTTTCTCGAGTAATTGCAAGTTGTACATGCATATGGTACAGTTGTAAATTGTATCTTTAACATATTATTACTTTCTGAATTTCTGAATCAATCAATCAACCAATCAACCAACCAACCAAACAACCAACCAATCAATTAAGTTTAACTTTTGAACAAGTCGTTATACTAAAATGTAGTCTTCTGAACACAGCTGGGATGGAAAAGGCGATTTTTTTGGTACCGAATTGTTCACTTCGATGTTAATGTTTCGTTTAAATTTAGGCGTATTTTGAAGCGGAGCATGCGCATAACATTTTTGTAGACTGGATCTAATGATTTAAGGCTTAAAATGCAATGCATTATCTTTACTTTGATACCCCTAAATGGATGCGGCCAGCAATCATTCTCAACACTGTGGAGAGGTCTGATGCAAAGCAGAAAGTAAAAGGACAGATGAATTTAAAAGTACATGCTCACATTCCTGCGTTTGTTTGTATACACAAGGTGTCATAGGAGTTCTTTCAAACAGAGTGCCAAAAGGGAATGGCAAGACATAGATAAGGTTGTACGATATGGCGAAAAGCATTCGCAATGTCGAATAGTGCCCCGTGACCAAAACGATAATAAATAGAACAATGAAAACGGAACCTGATGATAGAAAATTCCTCGTGTGCTGTTTTCTCTATAGTCAAGTTTTCACTTTTGTCTGATTGAACAAAGCACCTTAAGTTTTCTTCAAAAATTGATTATACAGCCAATGATATTCATTAGATTCATTCATCAGTTTAAATTTCAAAGAATATATATCACATTTTGTATAGGATTAATTCAGAACAGACAAAAACAACGAATACGTTTTCTCAAAAAGCTAAACATATCTCATTTTTGCAAAGACAGACATATTGAATAACGGACACACAGAAGACAGATAGACACAGAGAAGTTGAACATAGAGACAAACATTGAACGAACGGATCGTCATACACAGACACAGACAGTGACTAGTTGCTAGACTAACGTATTGAAAATTGATTTCTTTTCGTCATGTGATAGTCCTACTCCGAAACATCTCCACGTCACATTGTGGAGAACTAATCTGTATAAAGGGTCAAATAATGATCCCTGTAGAGCTCTATATGGCAAGAACACCTTTATGCTCTATTCGAAGGGATCCATTTAGGATATGCCAGTGTGCGCGTGTTAACTGTTAACTGAACACATCAATAATCATATAATATATTAGATACCAACTGGACATCATAAATCTAGTGTAAGTTCTGATTTTATTCTTGTTGTTTTGGACAAAATCTAAAGCTCAGATCTTGTATAAAATAATCTCAGTAAGATCTTACGTAAAATTTAAACTGTTCACTAGAAAATGTGATGAGATCTTGATGCAGTGTAAAATGTTTTAGGAAGTATTGTTAAACAGAACTTATACATAAATATACATAAATATCTGAGCAATTTGACTAGAAGAACCACCTGTACATTTTATTTTAGAACTATCTTTTACATTTTATTTTAAAATGGCAAGAACGATCCTTTACATTTTACATTAGAATAACCAATGTGATTCTCAGATTGCATTTTGTAATTTTAAAATTATTTAACCAATGAAAACTCGTTATATTAAGTTCCTCACTGTAAATTATTTTACAGGAAGTCAACCTGATTTTAGAACGGTCTTAGCCCGGAAAAAACGACTACCTGGTAATGTTATTATGTTTAAACTTTAAGTAAGAAACACTTTCAAGTTATCACTAATTTTTTTGTTTATTTGGAGTGAGAAACGTTTCATTAATCACGTTTTTTTCTTTATGTATAGGATTTCTATATACACACGTATATGTTTAAGATGCAAATTTCATTTCCTGAGGTTTTTATAGAATTTTTTTGAGAACCTTGTAAACATTGCTTAGATTGTGAATTGTAAAAAAGTGACTTATATCACCACTTGCCACCTTGATACTTAATAATGGTAATACAAGTATTTTGATATGCCTAGTTCTTTTCAACCAGAGTTATCACTGAAGTTGATTTATAACTTAAAAACACTAAGTACAAAGTACCTCTTTGTGACCACAATTAAACAAAGACCACTAATAGATGATGCGAGTAAACTCGAGGTGAAGAAAGCTGATTTTTAGTCTGAAAAATTGTGAAATAAACCGAGTTTTGTAAAGGGAGAATGGGTTAGTTGTTACATAATTATGTGGATATTTAGCATAGTTTAAGTATTTGATATAGTCAATAAAAACAGATTTTTTACTGTATTTAAAGTATTAATTCAAAGCAGTCTGGTATACTCAGTACCAAAATAAATGAAATCTCTAAAGCGTGGGTATTTTGTTTGTTTTTTTTACTTTTAATTAATTACAATTTTGCGATAAATGAGTGGTCAGAAGCCAAATTTCAAATGGATCTTTCCATTCCAAAGAGAAAAAGATAACAATGTAAAAATAGTGGTCTTAAGTCAATTTTGAATAATTTTATTGTTTCGTTCATCCGGAAATCAGGAAACAGATTGACCTACAGACATATTGACAGGTTCACCCCTATATACCCCGATTACCTTTTTGGGGTATAATTACAAACAATACAGTTTTTGCCAGACTTAGTCTTGAGGAAAACAAAGAAAACAATAAAAGTCTGATAAATATTTGTCTTCCTACACCTGGAAAGCTCGAACGTCGTCGGCGCCGTAAGATCATTATAATGTCGGCGTGACTCAAAATCCAACAATACAAAAAAAAAACAAAAAAAAAACAAACGTGGGAACACGTTGGCATTACCATGTCCTGTTCGTATTTCTTAAGAAATATGAGGGTTCGGCTGAATGTTTCAACTCGACATTCACAAAGTACTTATCATGTGACGCTACATATTCATGAATGAGGGTCCGCGTGTGACAAACCGTTTGAACATACACAAATGTACATGTATTGACAATAGCAATTTTGGGAGGTGTCAATGAGGGTCCAGATATGATTGATAGCAGCTAGATAATATCAAATTTGAATTGTTTAAAAACTATAACTATATACATGCAAAAAGATAATTTTTTCAAATATACGACAAACTCGCCCTATATACCCCGATAACCTTTGTTATAACTAACAAATGTGTCAATGTGTCGAGATATCATTGATAGCAGCTTGATAACGTCAATTTTGTAACTATATACATGCAAAAAGACTATTGCTTTTAAATATATACTGATAGATATATAATATAACAAGAACCACCAACGGGCTGGGATAACGCAATTTAAAAAAGGTCTGTCTAGTTACACTCATTGTTTTGTCCATATGAATTATTCCCATTAATAAACAAAGTTAAGAAAATATCAGCAGAGTTCATTGGACAATCAAGATTATGTGGAGATTAATGTCATAACTATATTATTCAAAATGTTTGTTTGGTCAAAAGTGTTGTTTTGCCCATAAATAAATCAAAACAAAACATATATAGAACAATAATGATAACAATAATAAATTAAATAATTTGACCTTCAGTGTCAGTTCAACCTTTAGAAGGTCTTGTCCAAAATGTTGTTTTATTAAAGTATGAAGATAATCCATCTATTAACTACCAAGTTAGAGTCAATTATAGCAAAAATCAATTAAAATTCAATAAATTAGTCTTCAAAGTCAAAAACAAAGCCAAGGTCGACTAGTTGATATATATGAAGGTCTAATCCTAAAGAATGTTGTGTTATAATTATAATTATAGTTAGTAACAACAAAAAAATAATGAAAGTTTCAATAAATTGGCTTTCAAGGTCAAGGTCATTCTAGATTTTAGGTCAAGGTTTGTTTGGTTATCATTAAGGTCCATCCTCAAATATTATTATGCTGAAGTTTGAAGACAATCTATTTAAACATAAGAAAGTTATAGCCGCTAATAGCAAAAATCAGCAAAACACAAGCAAAATTAAGACATCTGACATTGAAGGTCAATGTCATTTATTACTGAAGGTCAAGGTTAGTCTGGTCTACTTGAAGTTCAACCAATG